GGGTAAAAACATGAATGACTATAAATTGAACGAACTTTTTAAGTATGTGTGTACACACATTCACCAGAATCGTATTTCTACTAGTTTCTAGTATATAGTATTTTAGTCAACACATATAAATACGGGTATTCGATATACATTTATGCGCGAACAACCGATTACAAACATAATCCATATCAAAACTTTCATTCTACATACATACTTTAGACCTAACTTTTTGATAGAAAATATGGGTCAAACTTGACCCGATATCAGTTGTGCATTACTAACTCAGCCGAGTGTTGTTATGATTATGTATTGCCACGTTATGTAAAAAGTTTTAATTTCATACGTAATATATTTACATATTGAGAAAAGGAGTTCAGGCGTCGTTAAAATGAGGATGTGTTTCTGCAGAGAATATACGATCCGAATTGTCCATGTCACCTAGACAACTTTTCGATGATTGTATCATCAGAAAGTGAAGAAGATTGCACTTATAAAGGTGATATACTCTCGAGACCGTCAAACAATGGAAAGAACCTAGGCTTTAGAAAAGCATACAGGATGAAAATTTTAAACTGGCTCTATTATGGTGTCGATATAGATAATTGTGTCGACAACAGTAGAAACAATTATACCAACGAATCCATCCCCAATATTTCCGAAGCCTCGTTCATTATTGAGCGGGATGATACATCTTTGTCCAACAAGTCAGCGTTTTACGAAGTTGATGCACATTTCTTAGCGAATAACGACTTCGACAAAATTAAAATTCGCAAAGAAGATATAGAGGATGATTCAGCAGTTGTTATGTCTGATTATCTTGAAATGGATTTCAAATCGATTGAATTTCCCAAATCGGAAAATGCGATAGAAATTGTGAAACGAAATGAACCGTCTCCAATCGATGATGATAACTCTTCGATTGTAGAGGGACCTACCTATTCTACATCCTCTTCAGAAAATGATGTCGCGGATAACAACGTTAAAAATTGGTTCGCGCCTTATTTGCAAACAATGAAAACCGAAACTTTCATAAAGAAGGAAATTAAAAAAAAAAGGACACGAAAAATTTTAACGAAGCCATTGACAAGGAAGGCACCGAAAAGGAAGGTATTGAAAAAGAAGGCATATGCACCACGGAAAATCGTTTGCGAGATGTATGGTACGAAAACCATTAATTACGACTACGACCCTCTTGAATCAGATCTTCCGTCTTGGGTGCAAAAGTCAAATCTTAGCGATAGCAGCGTAATTTCCTCGCGGCAAAATGAAAATGTGAAACCCGTTTGGGACAATCTTAAATTTACCGATATCCATTTAGATGTTAAAAATCTTTCAAGCAGTTCGGGCAGTTCAAGCAGTTCGAGCAGTTCGAGCAGTTCGAGCAGTTCGAGCAGTTCGAGCTCCTGTACTGCCTGTTCTTCCTGCTCTTCCTGCTCTTCCTGCTCTTCCTGCACTTCCTGCACTTCCAGCTCTTCCAGCTCAACGTCGTCCGGTACGACTAAAACTTCTCACTCGAGCACTATTAACACCTCTAAAGGAGGATAACTGACTTTTGCACCTCTTATTCGTCAAAAACAAAATACTAACAGTATTAAAAAACCTTTTTATGTTTTTCATACTAAAAATGTTTAAAAGTAATCGTCATAATTTTATTATTTTTCTTTCAATTAATTTTATTATTAGTTACTATTAAGTTTGTACGCATTTACATTTGATATAATACTTAGGACAGAAGTTTTGTACTTTTATATAACTGACATTTTTGAATGCACATTTTTATGTTTGTAAGACAGTATCGTATTTTGTTAAGGTTATAAAATATGACTCAAACACGGGACAGTTTCGTTCTTCTATTAGCGTGTAATGATTTTTTATATTTAATAACACATAAAGATATACAAGTGATATAATAAAATGATTGTAACAGTATTTTGTGCCAGTCATTTAGTTTCAATAGAGAAAGAGGATGAAATTAACGGAGGTTTCGCATCGAAGGAACAGTGTATGAGGGTCGTATGAGCGCATGATCTCGGTGGATTCACGTGGTCGGTAAAGTCTGTGGAACCAGTTCTGTTTTTTCCTCAAACTGCCTCATTTAAATAAATACCGTGGGTCATTCGTCTTCAGAGACAGACAAAATTCATATGTTGCTTGTGCAAAGCACGTGCTACGGCGCTTCAAGGCATTATTAGTACTTTACAAGCAAGCTTAGTAAGGTAGGAGTGCCAGCGGAGGGCATTCAGCGGGTACAGGTGCAACGGTGTGCCTTAAACCCTCGTTTCCATGCGTCTGTCCGTACAGTTTTACTATTTTATCAGTTCTTGAAGTTGTAATGAAAATCTATAATATTTCGCCGTTTCCAATACCACACTTCAGAAGATTGCACGCGGAATAAATGTATTTCCTATAATCAGAATATTAGATTTTACTTTTTAACATTATAGGCCGACATTTCCAGGGCCATCCCCCTTATTTCAGAATATCCTTTAAGTCCAATCTTCTAAACCCTATTAGCATGTGGAATTGTTGCTTGATGCTGAAGCATCATTCACAAATTTTTAGTGGACAAACTCTTTCCCAGACAGCAAATCAAGGGAAGATGACTGTTGCTTTTTTCATTTCCAAACATTTTCGCGTTATGGGGTGTTTTAACATTTTAGTAATAAAATAGGCGATATCTATTTCAAATAACTACACGCAACTGGGGGGAGGAAGGAGGGGAGTGAATAGGGTTGATTAGGTGATGGTAGGACGAACGGTCTTACGTTTCTGTTTTTCGATTTCCTTATGGCAATGATACTGACAAAAATCACGGCCGGTTTCCAGCTTGGCATATGGCAGACGTTACCTCGAGACGCAGCCGGTGCACCGTACCGCGACTATTATCCGCGTCGCCATTGACGAATCACAGCGCTCAAAGCGTAACGACGACCACGGGGAACGCGTAGCCGGAACTACCACCAAGAATTTGTCTTCGTCTCTTGCCTGCCCAGAAATGGCTTTCATCTCCGGGGAGCGGGAGTCAACGGTATTGAACGGCGAACGGTCTACGTAACTGCGTAGCATCGTCACAATTAATCGTACAGCCTGTTATTGTCGTTAAGGCCGTTGGCTTAAACGCGACGCAGCACTTCTATTCGCTGTTAAAAGCATACGCAGGATCAAGGATGCGGAACCAACCAAGAGACGATGTGCCCGTATATCGTATATACTTACTGATGAAGCATCGGGACACAATAAATTGGTGCAGGGTGTTTTCTAGCTTTAAAAACATAATAATATTTCGCTATTTTATTTTCTTGCATCTTCCAAAGTAACTTCTTTGCTTTGTTTACACATGGTCTCGTACAGTTTCCACCAAATTTCATCCAAAAATCGACCTTCTCCGAGGTCTGAACAGTCAACGTGTTAAAGATCACTATAAAATAAAACTGAGAGCATGTTCCATTACTCCTGGCAGTGATCGGTTTAGGCGTAGATAAGGCAGAGTGGAAAGGCTTAATTATATTGTACGCAAAGGGTTAAATGCGGTGTATGAATACTTTTTGAAGTCACTATGTAGAGGCAATACATGTACCTGACCTTGTAATTATTACGTATCGGAAGGAACACTTGCAAGAAATATCAATCAGATTGTTGCAGCATTTTATCGTCCAATACAGCAGCAGACATCGTTAACGATTTATGTATTGTATTATAAATTATGAAAAATGGCGGCATCGATAACAGGCGTACTATGTATGTAACTTCAAGAAAAGTACAGGGGCAAGGAAAGAAGTCGTGGTAGCGAAATTATTCGAAAACCTTTAGTACGTCCTCGTTATTGGCGACGTAATTTCAGTGTGTAAAGACTCTCGAGGGGTCCCCGGACACGGCTAGGTAGATAAAGATCGACGTGCTGGCCGTGAACTTTGCACCGTGAGAAGACTTTTCTTCGCTTAACAAGTCGCACCGAAGTTCCCGCGCTTCCAGACAATGAATCCTTCCTTCCACACGGTGAACAACCGTAGTCATTTCCAGGATTCATAATGGGAACGAGAAGGGAAGCCGTGTGGTTTCGCGATCTCTTATTGTACATAGCTTCCACGGAGTTCAGGCTTGAATACTTCGTAGACGATAACGCAAAGTTTAATCTCTGTGAAGTAGAAGCATACAGTTTCATTTTGTTGACAAAATATTAAATTGCAAATTATAAAATTTCACGTAATTATTACGCGAAGTAATTATAACAAAATTACCTATGTAAAAAAAAAACAAAACAAAGGGACGTCCGCGCTGGAATTTGGTTCTTGACTTCTCAAATGATTGTCCTTCGATTATTGTAATATTTCAAAATGTTTAATGTCTGTCAGTTTTATTAATGATTATCCATTACATTTTGCATTAAATTTTCAAAAGAAACGGTCCTCTTTATCCTGGATTTCCTAGAAAAGAATGTAGTAATATGCAATGCAACTATGCAGAAATCAAAATCTTGTTCGTTATGTGATATTCCAAGGCGAAGATAATGGGGGAAGTCTTAAGGTTAAACAGGGAAGTTCACTGACTTAGTGAAAGAATATACAATAAAATGGATTTTAAACTCACTCGTGAGAACATTACGAAACCGTTAATTTCTCTTTGCATATAAATATTATCGAGAGTGTAATCGAACTAATTGTAACTTATAAAATTATAACTTAGGAATAGTGCAACACGTAACAAGATCATCATAGCATAATAACGATGATTGTATATTATGTATATATTATATTGTCTTTTGAATGATTAAAAACGCATACGATAATTTATTTATATTGTTTCCGTCTTATTATTTTTATTGTACATAACTGTGCAAACAAGTGTTTCATCTCGAATTATTCCTCGAACAATTACAATAATTACTAAAGAGATATGCCAAATTATAAGAAAGAAAAAACTAATAGTAATTTGAGTCGTCTTGAAGGCATCGCATTATGCTCAACCTGTATCAACATTAGTGACACTTCACATTATTCCGTTTTGTGTATACACGTGAAAGAGAACCTAACCTCCAATTTAAGAAGAAATCATGGGGCGCCGTAAAAAGGTATATATTTACCATAATTCTAACGAACTTCAGTATTTTTACATTTTTGTAAACTAAATCCTCATTACAATTGTAAATCGTGCTAGTACACTGGAATCTGCTAGATTTTTTGTGTGTAAATAACAACTAGGAATAAAAATGAGGATAATTATACATTACATATATAATAAACACAAATACAAATTTTGTAGGGTCGTTGTGTAAAGAAAAATAAACAGATTAATTTGGACGAAAATCCAGAATTAGTGAAAGCACCTCATTCGTTTGTCATTCATCGTGGTTTACCTGGAGAACATGTAGCAGAACTCACTAAAGATTTCCGTAGAATCATGGAACCATTTACGGCAGTGTCACTGAAGGAAAGGAAGCGAAATACAATTAAAGATTTTGTATCCATTGCAAGTGTGCTTCATGTAACTCACATGTGTATATTTACAAGGGCAGAACAGGGAATGTACTTTAAACTTTGCAGGTATAGTTACAGTTATTTTTCTACCAATTTCATAAACTATCATAATATGCTTTAATAGTCAAAATATATACACATTGTAGGTTACCAAGAGGACCTACACTTTCTTTCAAAATACATAGCTTTTCCTTAGCACGTGATGTGGTATCTATGTTGAAGAAACAAATGGTATATGAAGAACTGTTCAAAAATTCTCCACTCGTAGTATTAAATAACTTTAGTGGAGAAGGTATGCAATTGAAACTTATTGCATCTATGTTTCAGAACATGTTTCCTACAATAAACTTAACCAATGTAAGTTTAAAGATTAATAAGATATGTATGAAACATGAGTGATACTTCATATTATATACAAACATTTTTGTATTTTTTTTAGGTAAATTTAAGTACTATTCGCAGATGTCTTTGCTTAAATTATAATACAACATCTAAAACAATTGATGTCAGACATTATGCTATCAGAGTTGTACCTGTTGGTTTATCAAAAGGCGTAAAAAAAATTGTACAAGCTAAAATACCAAATTTGTCCAAATGCGATGATTTTTCCGAGTTTTTGACAAAAGGAACTGTTTCTGAAAGCGAAGCAGAAGATGATCCTGCAAATCATGTCATATTACCACAGAAATTATCTTCGCGCGGCAACCACGCGAGTAGTCAAAGTGCAATAAGATTATCTGAATTAGGACCTAGATTAACGTTAGAGGTTGGTAATCGTTTTTTTTTAAGTTAATATTACGATTAATAGTTAATATTTTTGTAAAAATAATTTTAGTTGATTAAAATTGAGGATGGGCTTATGGATGGTGAAGTACTCTTCCACGAGTATGTCCATAAGTCAGAAGAAGAGAAATTAATGATAAAAAAGAAACGAGAAGAAAAGAAGAAATTGAAGGAAAAAAGGAAAAAGATACAAGAACAAAATAAAAATAAAAAAGAACAAGTGAAACAAGAACACAAAGAAAAATCATTAAAAGGAATGCAGAAAAAGAAAGAAAGCGAAATGCTGTTACAGAAAATTGCGAAGGAATCGGTTGCAGAAAATACTGTGGAAGAAGATGATGATGCACAATATTACCGCGATGAAGTAGGAGAAGAACCTGATAAAGGTAATTGCATTTTTATGATTGGAAGAGTGGGATTCATTGACGTGTTCTAACTAATCATTTTTTTTATGGTAGATCTTTTTCAAAGAAAAGTTGGTGAAAAAAGGCCGAAAAAATTCACACCGACATATAAGACAAAAAAATCTAAACTTGGAGAATCGTGATAGGTAATGGAATGAGGTAATAAATCATAAGTATGTAACATTAGTTACATAAAATGATTTTGTGCATTATATACAAATATTAATAAAAATATAATTTTATACAATTGGATTATAAAACCACGTTTTATTTATTTCTTGTTTATTAATTGTATGATTAAGTCATGAGTTCTCGAATAAAATCAGTATTTTGAATCACGGATTTCATGTTACATAATAATTAACATTTAAAGATGTTAGATTTATATCGATTATTTACATTTCTTAGAATAAATATGTGATTGTATGATACAAACTAGATTGCAAATGTTTATGCAAATTTGAATTGTACAGAAGCACTTGCCAATTGGAAATAAGCAAGAATTTTCTTACAGTATTGGAGGTTTCATTGCATTAAAATAAAACAAAAACTTTAATAAAATGCAATAAAGTTCTTATTTTATTATGCTCTGGACAATCGCGTATTTTGTAAGTGCGTAACATCTACAGTCTAATCATAAAGTCGACCTTTCACTAATTGTGCTTAAAGTGCGAATAAATTGCACAATCGTTTCATATGTACAAGATAAACTAACATTTTATGTTCAATGGAAATCCTACCGCAACAAAGTAAAATGCTCAACGCGAGATGCATCTTAAAGTAATGTACTTAAAACCGAAAGAATCACTGATTTTGGTTCTCTGTAATAGCATCTTCTAGTCCTTTTAATCTATCCTCTAGTTCTTTTATACGTCGAGATCGGGAACGACACAATTCTTTCATTAATGTCTTCTCCTTCTCCAATTTTTGTATCCTTATGTGCTCCTGTGGAAACAATCAGATTACAGACGGATGCATTACAAATTAGACATTGGATTATGTAGTAATCGGAACTTACATCGACAACACCGCTGTTAATGCTGCAGAAACGTACTGTGTTGTTAGGTATCGTTTGACAGCCCTGATCTTTTCTATTTATACGCCAACGCCTACAGATATCGCATTCCCATGCATTAATATCGTTCGTAGTCTTCTGAAGTTTCCTTAATTCCGACATCAACTCTGTATTCTATGTAATATACGTATAAAGTATAATTAATAATGTACAATAGAATTTGTATTACGTGCATACGTACCTTACTACGGCAAACAAGTAAGCGTTCCTCCAATTCTTTGCATTTTCTCTGATGTGGAAAATTTTCACTTTGGATCTGAAGTTCTAACGTTGCAATTTTTCCATTCTTCGACACCAGTTGCAGTTCTAAGTCATGCATCTTCTTTTTCAATTGTTGACATTTATCCTCGTATTCACTGACATGTTTCTCGGATACACTACTGTGTAACTGCCTTTTTACACTCTCGTTGTGCATATTGCCTCTTAGTCTAACGTAAAGCTCTCCAATTTCACTTCTAAGCTTATTATTTTCGTCTTTCAACAAATTTAGGTTCCCTTTCAGTTTCGAAATTTCTACGTCGCGTTCGTGAATAGTGGCCGCATATTTTCCAAGTTCAACATCAAGATCTTTATTCTTAGTCGCTAAATCTCGTATTTTATTTACACATTCTTTAAGTTCTTTCTCCTTTTGACTCAACAGTAAAGTTTGAGTTTCCAATTTCCATGTAATTTTGTTTTCTTCTTGCTGGACGTCAGAAAATATCTCGCCTTCTTTCGTCAAGTTCGGTGCATTTAGCTTGGATTTATACAACTGCAGTGTTTTTTTTACCTCGATATTCTCTTTCGACAAAATATCACACTGTCGTCTAGAATCAGCCAATTCCTTCATAATTTCATATTTCTCACCTTGGAGATCTGTGATACGGGTCCACGCGCTTTCAAAGTTATTTTGTACCTTTTTACTTGGAGTTCTCGACTGGTCCATTGTTGTGTCTTTAAGTCCATTAGCATCGCTGCTGTTAAGTTTCGTGTCCAACTGTTTCTTGTAATCCTTTAACTTCATGAACAAGTCTAGATTCTCTTTTTGCAATATACGAATAACATTTTCATTTTGTCTTGATTTGATGTCTTCCGTTTGCTCTGTGTCCATTTGCAGTCTCATTTTGAGTCCATCGATCTGACTTCGAAGTTTCTCATTCTCTTCACTAACATTCTGCAATTTCTCCTCTAATTCATTAATACGAATATTTTCTGTTAAACGGGAATTTAGTTTACCCTCTAGTTCAGAAACTTCAATGTTTCGCTCCTGAATTACCGCCGCATATTCTTCTAGCTCATCGTCCAGTTCTTTATTCTTTTCTTGTAGCTGTTGTACCTGAATATTATAGTCCGCAATTTCTTTTTCCTTTTGATTCAGCATTAATTTTTTATATTCCAGTTCCAACGCGATTGTGTTCTTCTCTAATAGAAGCGCATCCAATTGGCTTTCACCCATTGTCGAATTTAAAGATGTGTATTTGGATTCGTATGCTGATAAAGTTTTCTTCATCACCGTATTCTCTTGCAGTAACAGATCATACATAGCCTTAGTGTCGATCAACTCTCTGAGAGTCTGATTTTTTACTTCTTGAAGTTCCGTCACACGATTACTTGCACCTTCAAAAGTGCTTTGCAGTCTTCTGTTCACCTCCTTCAGTTCTTCCATTTCTGCTTCTGCTCTGATTTTGCTAGTACTGTTTCTGACTTTGCTTTCCAGTTTCGCATTTGCTTGTTGAAGATCTTCATACTTTTCTTTCAACGCGTTCAATTCCTCTATCCATGCAACGTTCTTGTTGTTCAATTCATTTAATTGCTTGATCAATCCAGCATTTTTTATTTCCTCTGATTTCAACTTGTCCTTGATTATTTCTAGTTGTTCTTCCCTTTCCCTCTTTAATGTTTCAATTTCCTGCCTATATCGTTCGATGACTTCTTTTTTATCTTTAATATGTTCTTTTAATGTTTCATATTCTGGCGTGATAGTTTCAAGCTTCGTCTTATATTCGGATACCATGTCGCACTTGTTTTTCAAAATTGCTGTGATTTCTTCTACATGAGAAGTTTTCAGTTCCATCTGCTGTTTCACCGCGTTGTAAGCCTCAGTAAGTTGTTCAAGTTCTGCGGTCAGTTCCTCTATCTTCTGATTGTTCTTTTTTATTTCGGTTGAGTTTGCTTCTATGATATTCTTCAACTGTTTCTCATGAGCTTCAAGTCCCTCCACAGTACTATTTAACTCCAAGTTTTTTGTTTTGTAAGACTCGACGGTATACACAAGGTCAATTATTTTCTTCTCGTACATCTCCTTTTCAAATTTTAGTTTCGATTGCAATTCCAATTCTTTACTCTTAAATACTTCCTGTGCCTCTTTCTCCCTTTTCTGGACAACAAAAATAGCTTCTTCTTGTCGACTGTCAACCTTACATTGCTTGTCGAATTCTGTTTGCAGATTGTGAAAATCTGTTTCAAGCGCCTTCATGTTTTCATTAAGAATTTCATTCTCATGAGTACTTTCTCTTAGGAGATGGTCCAGTTGAGAAATCTTGTTTTGATACTCCTTATGAACATGTTCCCGTTCCGCCAGTTCTGTTTGCAGTTTTTCAATTTCTGCTTCCAATTCTTTCGCCCATGTTATTGTACGTTTCTCTGTATCTGCGCTTTGCTGCATCTTATCTACTAGTATCTTTTTGTCTTTTTCAAATGTTTCCCTTATAGTTTTAATCATTTCTTGTTCTTTTGTCACCAGAGTCTGCAGCAAGATCATGAAGATCTCATTCACAGATTTGTTTGAAAGATCCGCCGAATTTACATCGCACTTGAGTGACCTTAACTCTTTTGTGATACAAATTCTGATATCACTTAATTCTTCGTTGAGTTTTTCGATGTCACTCGTTAACACTTTTTCCTTCTCAAACACACGTTCACTTTCATTTGTTACTTGATTGATCTTTTCTTCGATGTTTCTTAGTCTGGTAAGCTCTTGTTTCAAGTTTAGATTCTCATCAATGAATTTGTTTAGTGTATCGTTGAGCTTTTCTAGATTACCTTCAGATTCTTTGATACGATGTTCGTATTGTGTGGACACTGAATGGAGTTCAGTTCTATACCTCGTTTCTACGTTGCTTTTAAAATCAAGTAGTTCTGCTTCAGTTGTTTGCAATTTTTCTAGCAAAACACGTTTCTCCTCTTCGCTTTGCCGCAGAAGATTTTCGACGTAAAGACCTTTCCCTTGCAGTTCTTTATATAGACATTCTTGTTGCATTATGTTTGCTTGAAGGTTTTCTATATGCGCTTCCAGCTCTTTGATTTTTCTTACGGCGTGTTGCTCCAACTCCTTGCTTCGTACCTTCTCGTTTTGTAATTCCTCCTCGCATTGTCTCTTTAATAACTCTAATTCTTCTCTGTATTTATTATTCGTTGCTTTTGACATAATTAACTCATTGTTTTGACTGGTAACTAAATCTAAATCATTTTTCAAAGAAGAAATACGCTCGTTCAATTGATTAATCAAAGCATTCTTATTTTCTCGATCAATTTTCAAGTCTTCTAATTCTACTTCTAGGATCAACCTCCGGCTTTCAAATTCCTTTTCTCGTATGGACAATTGCTCAATTTCCCTACTCATGTTGGTTAACTCAGTTTCCAGAACTTGCACCTTTTCCGCTGCGGAGTTCTCATTGCCAGACATTATCTGTCGCAGTTCATCATTACTAGCTTTTAAAGTATTAATTTCATCTAATAGATTTGCCTTTTCAGTTCTAAACTGGTTGAGCGTGGCGGTGAAACTTGTACTGTTCTTCTTCATTTCGTCTATGTCTTCTTTTAGCCGGTCAATGTGATTCTGCATTTGTTCCAGTCTGAAACCTTTTTTATTGGAAGACTTCTTCGGCGTGGAATTGACACCTATTGCGTCCACAATCATGTCGTTCTGAAGTTGTTCAAGTTCGTTGCATTTATCTTCGTATAAGACTGTCAACTTATCATGATCTGCTTTCAACGTTTGCAGTTCATCATTCAAATTCTGAATTCTCTCCTCCACGAAGCTCACATTCATTTCATCCACAAAGCTGACATTCGCTGAGGCGTCGTGTCCACTTAAATTTAAATCTTGATTCATCTTATTCCTCAGTATTTCGGTGTCTTCACATTTACGATCGAACTTCCTTTGGAGATCTTCCAACTTGTGATTCAATGCCTTCGCTTCGAGTTTCAGAGCTCTTCGACTCTCATTCATGTTCTTCAAATGAGCGCATCGACTGCAGGATGTCAATTTCAAGTCGCTCAGCTTAGTATTTAAGCGAATCAGATGATTGACTTTCTGCTGTAACATTTTAACTTTACATTCAAGGACTTTAGTATCATTTTCCAATACAATTTCCTGTGCATTCTCTGCGTTTTCACTGAATACTGCTGATGAATATGATGTATCATGATAGGATTTTTCATTTCGAGAACTATCAAGATCATTCATGGTTTCCAATAGATTATTCGAGAATTTTGTATTTTCTTCGGATAGTATTGTCACTTTTGTTTTCAATTCTACTATTTCAGTCTTCAGCACGTTATTTTCTGATCTTAAATGTTCCATATCGTGTTCAGAAGGATTCTCATTCATTGCTAGAGACTGTTCTATCTTCTTCTTTAATATGTCACACTGTTCCTTCAGCAAATCATTTTCCTCTATTTTATCTATTAAGTCGGTGGAGAGTTCATCATTTTCTGATTGTAAACATTCATTCGTTTTTGTGAGAACAGCTACTTTTTCTTTGTACATACATTCATGATCATACAAGAGTGACTTACTTTCTTTAATGCTCTCTAGTTCCTTGTTTTTTTCAGCAATCGAAGATGATAGTTCAATATTTTCAGTTGTTAATTTATCAATTTTCTTTTGATAAGATGCAAGCAGTTCTTCGTCGTTGTAAGTTTCCGGTGTTCTTGAACGCATGGACTCTAATTGATCATTTAAAGCTGCTAAATCGCTTTCTAAATTAATTTTCTCATTTGTAACTTGAGAAATGCGAGCATAAAGTTCATCGATCGTGTTTTGAAGATTAAGTTCTGCTTGTTTTGCATTCTCCTGTTCGGTAGTTAGTTTTGTAGCCATTTCCGTGTTCTCAGTCGTCAGCAAATAAATGGTTTTTTGCAGACTCTCTATGTCTTGTCTAAGACTGTGGACATCACTCTTTATTTCATCCAATTCCAGACTCTTTAAGTAAAGCGTTTCTTCCATTTGGCTCTTTTCTGCCTCCATGTTCAACATCAGAGTTGAAGTGTCCGCAGTACTTTCATTAAATCTTGAATAAGACATAAAAGATTGGTCCTCTAACTGATCTTGTAGGTTTTGATCCACGATTTGAATGTTTGTGACTGTATTCTGCAAGTTCGTTGTATAATTTCTCAAATTATCGTCTTCATTGATACAATTACCCTCGTTTCTGAGATCTACTTCTGCAATATTTTTATCTAGTATTTCGCGTAATTCAGAATTAACGCGTTCGACTTCCTGTTTTTCGAGGATTATATTTTCCATTTGTTTTTCCAACTCGGAAATTTTTTCCATTGTTTCCTTAAGTACAACCTGTTCTGATGTATGTTTCAATTCCATTTCGTAAGTTTTTTCATTTAATTCCATTTGTAATCGGTCGCTAATACATTTGGACTCTTCTTTCTCGGACATAAAGACTTTAATCTGTTGTTCTAACTCAGAGATCTTCTGTATTGCATTCTGACTTGAAGCTTGCTCTGTTTCAGTCTTCGATTCAAACTCAGAAACCTTTTGACTTATCTCAGTATTAATACGCTGTAGTATATCTTTCTCGGATTTTATACTTTCGATCTGATTTTCTAGTTCTGAAATTTTTTCCTTTGCTTTCAAAGCTTCCATTTGTTCTAATGTTTTAATCTCCAATTCAGAAGACCTCCGACTCAATTCAATGCGCAGTTCACTATTAATATGTTCCATTTCAGTTCTTTCAGAAATAATACTTTCAATCTGTTTTTCTAGTTCAGAAATTTTTTCGGTCGCTTTCTGATTCTGATCCTCAGTCTGCTCCGTTGTTACTGTTGCTGTCGATTCCGTAGTTTGATTCAATTTAGTACGTAAGTCGATATTAATACGCTCCAGCTCACTTTTCTCAGCTGTTGCAGTAACAATTTGCTTTTCTAACTCGTCAATTTTCTTCACCATCTGCTCAATTTCATTTTTTTCCGATGTCGCACTTGCCTCTACTTCTGACGATTTCTGGCTTAATTCAGCACACAATTCATTATTAACGCGTAAAATCTCATTCTTCTCAGTTGTTATATTTTCAATTTGCTTTTCCAGTTCAGAAATTTTCTCCACTGTCTTTTGGTGTTCAGTTTCCCTCAATTTTAGTTTCTCTTCCAATTCAATCTTTACAGATGTTATGTTCGCTATATGTTTTTCAAATTCGAACAGCTTTTTCACTGCATCATGGCCCTCAGTTTGTTCTAGCGCAACTCTTACATCCAATTCAGAAATCTTCTGATTTAATTCAGTCCGTAACTCGGTATTAATACATTCAAATTCATCTTTCTGTATTGTTATATCTTTAATTTGTTTGGTTAATTCGGACATCTTTTCCATTGCCCTTAGACTTTCAGTTTCTGCTAATTGTATTTCGTTTTTCAATTTATCCTTCTCCGCTGTTAGACATTCAATTTCTCTTTGCAAAATAGAAACTTTTTCAGTCGTCTCTTGATGCATCGTTTTTTCCAATTTTATAAGCGATTCAAATTCAGAAACTTTCTTACTTAATTCAGTGTTTATACCTTCAAGTTTTTGTCTTTCGGTGATACTACTTTTTAGTTGCTCTACCAACTCAGAATTATTCTCAGGTTCTTTATTTCCAATTTGTTCTGCTACTATTTTCGATTCCAAATCGGTAATCTTTTGATCCAATTGTGTCTTTAAGTCGACGTTAGTATGTTCAAGTTCCTGTTTCTCGATGATGATATTCTTTAGTTGCTCTTCAAACTCGCAATTCTTCTTCTGAGCTTGTTCATTTGCAATCTGTTCTGCTACTAGTTTTGATTCTAAATCGGTAATCTTTTTATCCAATTGTGTCTTTAAGTCGACGTTAGTATTTTCAAGTTCCTGTTTCTCGATGATGATATCCTTTAGTTGCTCTTCAAACTCGGAACTCTTCTTCAGAGCTTCTTGACTTGCAATCTGTTCTACAACAATTTTTGATTCCAAATCAGTGGTCTTTTGATCTAATTGAGTTCTCAAGTCCACCGTAATACGTTCAAATTCATTTTTTTCCATAGTAGTATTGTCAATCTGCTGTTTCAATTCAGAAATTTTTATAAACGCATCTTGCTTTGCAGTTTGCTCTGAAATAATTTTCGATTCCATATCCGAAGACATCTGACTCAATTCAGCTCTTAAATCGACAGTAGTTTGTTCCAATTTGACTTTTTCAGATGTCATCTTTTCGATTTCTTTCTCTAAGTCTCGAATGTTTGATATCATTTCTGTACTCGCAGTCTCCGGATCGTTTTTTAGTGTTTCTAGTTCTACCATCTTGTTGTTTAACTCCTTGCGCAGTTCGTTACGCATATGTTCGAATTCATTCCTCTCAGAAGTAATATTTTCAATGTGATTTTGCAATTCTATAATCTTCTTCGTTGATTCGGTACGTAATTCAGTGTTAATGCGTTGTACTTCCTCTTTCTCTGATGTAATACTCTTTAGCTGTCTCTCTAACTCCAAGATTTTCTTCATTTCTTCTTCTTTTACACTTTCCACGGATATATTCTTTAGTTCTAATTCTGCTGTTTTCTTCTTCAAGTCTGCTCGTAATTCACAACTCATGTATTCAAACTCATTTTTTTCAGAAATAATATTTTGCATTTGTTTCTCCAGTTCTGAGAACTGTTTCATTGTTTTTCGATTTGCATCTTTTTCCAGATCACTTTGTTTCTCAATTTCTATAAGTTTAACACATAATTCACTGATTATACGTTGCATATTTTTCTCTTCTGCAAGATTTAGATTTTGTAGACGTTCTTTCACTTCCGGAGTATATTCTACTGTATGAGATTCAAAAGCCAATTTTCCTTGTTCAGTTTCTTGCAATTCCGTTATTCCCTCTTCTTCATGTGCATGAATATCTTGACATATTAGCTGCTTTTCCAAAGTCGTAAACTGACGAAGTTCTACGAACTGTTTTGTTAAGTCCATAATACATCGTCGTAAGACATGTTTCGGTGTGGAAGGAGACGCATGATGGCTCGATGTTTGAGTTGCTATGTTGCATTTCTGTGGTGTATTAATTTCTTCTAGTATTACATTGTTCTTAGATTTAATTGTACATACTTCATCCTTAAATGTAACACGATGTTTACGTTTTGTAATAAACGGTTCCTCTTCGCTATCGCTATCATTATCATCATTCACTCGCTCCCGTTCAGTCTCATATAATTCTAACTCAAAGTCAGCAAAGGCTGTTTGAAACGTTTGATTCATTAGGTCAACAGATTGAATAATGCTCTTTCTATGTGACTTTTCCAGAGATACTTCTTTTATGGTCGGTAAACCTCCTATAGGCTGGAAAGCAGATAGACGTTGATTAAACATTCCAGGACCACCCCATGTCTGTCTCCTTTTAGAATTGCCCTTAAACGACTCCTGGCTTGTCGTGTCCCCGGGTACGATTCGAGTCTTTAGTAATTCTATACGTTCTTCCAATAACTGATTAATACGTTCCTTTTCTTGTAATTTAGACTCCATTTCTTGAACCTCGGCAGCTCGATTTTCAATTTTTATTTTTTCTAATTCTGCCTGGAGTTTAGACAGTTGTTTTGCATAACGTTTTAAGAGTGCTGCATCGGACATAACTTCGTTAACTTGTGGTTTGTTCTTTACACTTTTAGCTCGAGATGCAAATGATAAACTGCAATGAGTCTCATCTAAAGCAGCGGGAGTCACAGCACAAATTATAGCTGTCATAGCATTACCACCTAAAGAATTCTGCAGTAGTCTTGTTAGTTTACTGTCACGAAAATTAACATATTTTTGTCCATCCTGTGATTCGCTTAATTGCATAATTACTAATCCCAATGTAGAAAGAGACAAATTGATATGCAGTCCCTCCTTAAATCTTTCTCCTGTTGCTCCTGTTTGCCGTGCCCTTTCAGAACCAGCAAGATCAACTAAATTTAACTGAGACACTTGTATAGCACCATCTGAATCTCCACCTGCTTCTCTACTTTCAATTGTCTAGAGAAAAAATACATGAACCCTGAAATACTATATACAACAGACTTATTATTTAATGTATACTTACAATTCTAAATATAGTATGACTTCTACTGCTACGTTCATTCATATTAGTCACTCCTGTTCTTCTATGCTTATCTCCTTTCTTCATTATAGACAACATGTTCTCTGGGCAATTAGTGATCTCTTCTTTACACTTTAAGATTACTTGTCCACTAGCATCTTCTTTTAATTTCAAGTCTATACCATCCTTATTTAATAAATCATTCACTTTTTCCTTATAAATCTCTAAATATGATATTCTAGAAATTAATAGTAGTTTTTTTATACGTGATAATAATGTTTAATTTCAATTTCATCTTGTTGAATATAATATTATTATTGAGGCAGCCTCTCCTGATAACAGATTATATGCACACCTTAACAGGAATTCTCGTCCAACAGTATTTGCAATAGCATCAAACATGTGGTCAATAGCAAGTGGTACTATTCCAGGTTCCTCTGAGGTACCCATCATTGTGTATGTTTTGCCAGAACTTGTCTGACCATATGCAAATACTGTTCCATTAAAGCCATTTACAGCAGCATCAACAATAGGTTTCACAATAACGTCAAACACATCTGCATTAGATGTGTTCATGTCGAAAATATGATCTATAAACATAACACCGAAAAATAAAAACATATAATAAGAAAATCGTTCAAATACAATGAAACACGTATATTTCGAGAGTTGTATGGCTTAGAAAGAATGAATAAATACCAAAGCAAAATCCTCCATCTCCTCGCTTTTTCATCTCCGTGTCCGTGGACACAATAGAGTTCCCTTGAACTATCCATTGTATCGGCAGATTTTCGTCTTTCTCGCGTTTAATTAAGGGTCTCACTTTAATCGCAACTTTTATGCTATCCGACATCTTCGCTTGACTGATATTTCATCCGAATCACAAAACAATTCGTAACATTATTCAATAAGTTTAACTTAATATTTACGAGTCCCTCGCGCGTTACATGACGGCTAGTACTCTTTACCACAACCGCCGTTTGAAAAAGCGTCTCTCAACTTTCATTTAAATTTTGAATTTCCTGCGATACGATTGGTTTCTTCAAACATAAACATTGTGCAATAGATAGATAGACATATGTGTACAAAAAAAATGGCAACAGTAAAGTAAGTTAAGTAGAGGGCAACAGAAAATCTCTGATTTTTCGCCCATTTTAATCTAAACTAACGTATCACTAGTAGAGATTAATAATCATTTATGTTTTTTTTTATTCAAAACAGATAGAAGTAACCTGATCATGTGTCGGCCACGCGAAAATGGTACTTTTATATTAAGTAGTATTATGTATAAGTAGTATTTAAAGCAATTGTTATTAAATTTATACAAATACCATTGTAAATTGCATATTTTCTTACGATTTTTCAATAAAAAACAGTCAAACAAGAAATTTTAGAATTAGTTCCAATTTCCGCCACCAAAGTGGGTGGGGGCGCCACTAAATGTTCCATTATCCCCCGTTTTTCCGGCACTTTTCTGAATCCAAGATGGCGGGAAAACGGTGGGGTCACAGAACCCCCGGTGGGGGCACCAAGGACCCAGTATGGCGAGAACGTGGGGTCATGGAACCCCCGGTAGAGGCACAAGGGACCCCGTGTGACAATAACGTGGGGTCACGGAACCCCTGGTGGAGACGCCAGGGACGCCGCGGGGTCATGGGACCCCCCGGTGGAGGCGCCAGGGACCCCGTGTGACGAGAACGCGGGGCCATGGAACCCCTGGTGGAGGCGCCAGGGACCCCATGTGGCGAGAACGTGGGGTCATGGAACACCCGGTGGAGGCGCCAGTATTCGATTCAACTGCTCCCTTGCGACTACATCATGCTATCCGCGTTCGGCACAGTGCGCTAATACGGAGGCCAACGAAATATCACTGTAACACTTAAAAAAGTGTTAAAGTTCCATTTGTATCATTGTCCTGTGAAAATGTTCATACTTCCAGCAGCATTCATATTCCAATCAAAGAATTTACAGAATAAGGAAAAGAAATCTAAAGTAATTTTCAGTAGTTCCATACATCTTTATCTCGAATAACTGTCTAAAACATTCAAAGTACTAGACATTTTTACACTTTGAATTTCATATCGATTTCTAAAATAATCCTAGTTCGATGTAATATAGAACATGGTTTTATGAGATAGATTCGAAGTTCGCAGCCATTGGCTCGATATTATCCTCAGTTTATAGTACTTTACCAATGACAATACCGATTGCCCAGGCCTCACCACGAGGAGGTTGCTGCGAGTGGAGGCCCAAGGCAAGTAGATGGAATCACAAGTTCTACATCTACCCACCTTTCACAATAAACCTTATAAATTA